TATAGGAAAAAATCAATTTCTATATCTTAAAATTATATCAAAACTCTCTGAACTTTAATTATGTTCCCTCATTAATATCACTATCAACATGAATATAAAAGCTTTCCAAATAGGTTGATATTAATGAGAGACGACTGTATAATTAAACCCGCTTGATAGAGGCCGTTTTTAGATCAAATTTATTTAAGTACTGTATATAGCATGAAATCCACAAAATAAGCAAGTTCGGATATTTGCTAATAAAAAGTTTATATATTTTTTTTTAATTTAGACATTTCGACATTATTTAGACTGACATTATTTAGACATTTCGGCATAATTTGCATTATTTTAGTATTTCGGCAGACAAAATATCAAAAGTCGAAATATTTCTATAAGCTCAAAACAATTTCAGCTAACATTAGTCCGGATCCTCCCTAATCCTAACCAAAACTACAATACTGTTTATTCTTAGTATAAATTACAGAGAGAGAACAATTTTTGTGGGTGTGCTACCTAAGATTTTTGATAAAGATATATATATTGATATATCTTTATCAAAATCTTTCTATATTATATGGGGTCTTTGCCTTGAAAATGACCTTACGGTACATGATACCGTGAGGTCAATATATATAACTTATATATAGAAAAAATTTTGAGAAATTTTGTCGATCGGACCGCAAATTTGACCAGAATTAAACCAGTTTTGGGGGTCCGATCGACAAAAATCGCCCATGCTTTAAAACAATTATTATATAACAGTCAAGACTATTTAAAATACAACATACCAAACAATACCTATAATAAATTTTTGTGAAAGATGGCAGCGCGTGGAGGTGTAAATTCAAAGGGCGAAGCAGCACCTCAACCTGTCAAAGTTCAGCGATATTGGCCTGGAAAAGTTCCGGAAGGAGTAAAAGACTACTCTTCGGATGAAGAAGAAGAAGACGAGCAATTCGAAAGAGAAAGGGAAACCGAAATTATAACTAGTATTGAAAAGGTAGATATAACGGAAAAAGAAGCAGCTTCAGATCGAAGGCTAAGAAGGTTGAAAGAAGCCAAGGAAGCAGGATCTTCAGAAGTAATTGATAGAAGACGGAGACATTTTAATGATCAAGAAGTCGGAGATCTACAGTTACATAATATTAAAATAGAACAAGAAGCAGAAGTAAAAATAGAGGAGGAGGAGGAAGATGATTTAGCACTTCGTCGACAGCGCTTAAGAGATCGTGTATTAGAGCAACGAAAGCAAGAAGAAGAGAAATTAAAAGCTATAGAAGAAGCAGAAAAGGCTCAGGCTACTCAAACAGAAGAAGAGGTAGGCTATTAATTGGTTTCATGATATCTATCATTTATACTATTAAATATTTTATCATTTCATAATATATAGGGAAGTGAAAGTGAAGAAACGTCAGAGTATGAAACTGATTCAGAAGAAGAACAAACATCAAGGAAATTGTTAAAACCTGTATTCATCCCGAAGTATGTTTTATATTTATAATTTAGACTAAAATATAAATATAAATATAAATATAAATATAAATATAAATATAATTAAATTTGAAAGCTAATCATTAAAATTAATTCTTTTTAGAGCCCATAGAGAAACAATACTAGAAAAAGAAAGGAAGGAAAAATTAGAAGAGGAGATTGAAGCAAAGAAATTGCAAGAATTAGAAGAGAGGAAAAAAGAGTCACATTCAATGGTCGCTGAAGTGATTCAAAAAGAAATGCAAAAAACTGGTAAATTTCTTTTTTGATACACAATTTCTTATATACTACTTTTTTATATATATATACGTGTCGCACTAAAATATGCCCATAAAATTTGCAGTCGACGAAGAAACTGGTGTTAAGGAAGTTGATGATACAGATGGATTGGATGAACAGGCAGAATACGAAGCCTGGAAATTACGTGAACTGAAAAGAATCAAGAGAGATAAGGAAGAACGTGAAGCGTATGTATGACTTGTTTATTTTGTTGAAAGAATCTTTTTACCATTAATGAAATAATTATGAATTTTTATTATCATTTTTTAGGAGAGAAAAAGAACGAGAAGAGATTGATCGGAGACGTAACATGAGTGAAGAACAACGTTTAGTTGAAGATATGGAGCGTGTAAAAGAGCAACGTGAAAAAAAACCACACGGCCAATATAAATTTCTGCAAAAATATTATCACAAGGGTGCTTTCTATTTGGTACGTTGACTAATTACCGGTAGATAATTTTTTAGTGAACCGATACCATTGCACCAATAATTTAATATCACCAATTGTTATTTTAGAATCCAGATGATAAAATATTTAAACGCGACTATACTGAATCAACACCTGATGAAGCAGGTGACTAACAAAAATTAACTTTTTCTATGTTTAATTTCGTCTTTCTATTTATTACTGTATTATTTTAACTTGTTGAATATTTATTTTAGCTCATAAGGAACTATTGCCCAGTTTTGCTTCGCACGCGATGCCGGTTTCACAGACACCCACTTACCCAATTATGGCCAAGTTATTGTTATTATTGATAAAATACTTGGAGTTTCGAAACGTATTATTTTTTTAAAGTATAGTTGCCTATCTTATGTTATTTTTATTAATCAATGTTGGCAAAGCATTTACTAATACGCAACGGAGCAATAAAATTTTTTTGAGTAATGTAGGAAAATTGATGCAAAAATACTATTTCTGATAGGGTAAAAAAAATCTATTTTTCATTTTGTTCCTAATAGAGATCTAAAAACTTTGAGGCCGATTTCTCTTCATATATTTAGTTACAACAATAATGTACTTTTTTTTAGTTTTTTCTTCGACAATCCACCAAAAAAAGGTATTTTTGTGACCTGGCCAGGTTATCAAGAATGCCTTATAATCGTAGTTTTTACAATTTACTTGTAACGTTTAAATTACGTCTTCAGCAATTTCTTAAATTTGTTCAAATCTACTAATTTTAATCTACCCATCACATTATTAGAAACAATATCGCATATACTTGTTAAATATTTGGTTTTTTTATTACATACTGTAAATTACTTACTGTATTTTTTATTAATAAGAAAATCACTTTATGGTAACATTATCATGTTCTCAAATACTTTTAAATTTTTTTTTATTAGTTTATCCGTTTTTTTTT